GCTACCTGCATGGCCATTTGTCCTGAATGTTCTACCACAGGGAGAATTTAATTCAAATATTAACAAGTATGAAGGGAGAAGGGCAGTCGCATTGATGGGATTTTTTTCAAAGATATGTTGAAAGAATAATAAAATGCTGAAACCACAAAGTATTGCAAGTAAAATAACCATAAAGAAAACCAGAAACGAAATCACACATCAAAATCGGAAACAAAATCTTTGACCTGGACATAAGAAAACAGGCTAAAGTAGATAAATATAGCAGTGAATAGAAAGCTGCTATGTGGTAATCACAGAAACTGGTAAAATCACTTAGAAACTGGATCCTATGTGTTTTAAAATTGAAAGGAGAGAATGAAAATCAAAGACTTATTTACGAGTTAATCATAAAACACAGTATAGGGGCACCTGGGTGGCTCAGTCAGTTAAGTGCCCAGCTTTGACTCAAATCATGATCTTGTAGTTCGTGAGTTCAAGACGCCCATCAGACTTTGTGCTGGCACCTCAGAGCCTGGAGCCTGCTTCAGATTCTGTGACTCCCTTTCTCTCTGTCCCTCCCCCCACTCACACTCTGTCTCCATCTCTCAAAAAATAAATAAATGTTAAAAATATTTTTAAATAAAATCACAGTAATTCATTTCTTTTTAAAAAAAAATTTTTAATGTTTTCTTTATTTCTGAGAGAGAGAGACAGCATGAGCAGGGGACGATCAGAGAGAGAGGGAGACACAGAATCTGAAGCAGGCTCCAGGCTCTAAGTTGTCAGTACAGAGCCCGACGCAGGGCTCGAACCCTCGAACCGTGAGATCATGACCTGAGCCGAAGTCAGACTCTTAACCAACTGAACCACCCAGGCACCCCGAAATCACAGTAATTCATTTCAAGTTCCAAACTATTTAAGTTAAATAGTTGGTAAAATACATAACTTTAATCAAAACTAATCATGCGGCCTGAAGAACCAGAACAATAACGGGGTATGTGCATGATAGAGATTGAGAACTGAATGTAACCACTATAACCCTTTCCCCAACAAAGTTACTACCATATGTAACAAAATGGAGTTGAATGTCAATTTCTAAGTCACTGGCTTCTTAAATATATAATTTCTGTGTGGTCGCAATATGAGTAGTAACTAACACTTTAAAAAATGGGAGCAAATGCCTCATGTAATGATTGATCTTGGGGTGGAAGGAAATTGGAAACAACTCTCACCTTTACTGAAAGAAGGCTACATCTCTACCTTACAAACCTATTATTTAAAGAATATATATATTATGTACTAACACAAAGGGAAACATGATCCAAAGCACAACCACCAATGGAGGCATTTTTAACATCGTTCAATTTGGCTCTTACCTGTCCGAACCTATTGCACTCTATTTTATGTCTTAGGACAGGACGCAAGGCAAGTTTGGGTTCCGTGGTTACTGTGGACTCACTGTGGGCATCCTCTCCAAAGAGTACATTCTACTGCCCTCCCCACTAGGCAGGGCCTGGATGGCCTTCCTATGAGCTCTCACAGGGCTCCGTGCTTTTCTACATTATGGTACTTATCATGCAAGAGTGTAATTTATGTATCTCTCTTCCTGAACTATGCGTGCTTGAAAACACAAACTATATCTTAATTTATTTGGGGATCCTTAGCACCTAAAACAATGCCTCGACCATTAGGAGATGAATGAATAAATGAATAAATGCATTAACAGAAAATCAAAGATAAGTTTTCACATCTGTGTTTTCCTAACCTAAGCAAATTATAGAAATATGACACACAAGATGGAAAAGGCATTTTTCCCTTTATATAGATAAGTTAGAAAGACCTATAAATGAATTACACTCACAAAGAAATTGAGATGCCAAGGATTGAAACTTAGCCTCTTGTATTTACCCACAATAATATCAACAATATAATAACATCTCACCAATAATGAATAAAACCAAACTCTGCACACTGATTTTCTAATACAAATCTTACAATTTGGTATTACTCTCTTGAACTAATGATACTACTGAGAATTCAATTACAACTGTCTGTTTAAAACATAATTAATGTGTCTCTATAAACATTTTGATAAAACATTGAATTTATTATCGATGTACCATGGTTTAAAAAAAAGAGTTGCTTTAAAAAAGAAAACAAAACCCTTGCAAAGTATGATCAACATCAATGTACTGGAGGAGAATTTTGCTGCAATATTCACAGTTTCCAACCATTTTCCAACAGTCTGAAGCAGTGATGTGAATTTCTTCCAATCAGGCTATAGTTTAATTTTTTCCAGGGAAATATCTTTAATAGGATTACTGACCCTTTTAACACTCTTGGAAAGAGAAAGAATCCTATAAGCATTCTGGCATATAACTATTATAAAAATAAATAGAACAGTCAATCAGGGGAAATTGTAATAGACTTGAGAAACCAAACTTACTCAAGAAATATACATGAGAGTGTGTGGTGATTGCCACTTTCACAGAGAGAAGATTCTACACACCAGCAGAACAAGCAAGTACACCAAGACAAATGAAGGGCTAGAAAGGCCAGGAAAACTTTGAACAGCTTTCATCTCCTACTTAAAACAAAACTAATCACAATCAATCAATTCTGCAGACTCCTAGGCCTGTCCCTAAGTACTATTTGGCTTTTCAGAAGGTACTTAAATGTATCGGAGAGGAGGTGGGGGTGGGAAGGACGCTTACTGATTTAAGACACATTTTTGCACTCACAATTCTTTGTGCTTTAAGAGGAATTTTTTTCAGGTCATTAGTTTATAATGTGAACTGGTGCCTAGGGGTATTTTGAAAGGAAAAAAAAAAGCGTGCTTGGAGATGCAGTTAATGTGACTTACGTCATCATTTATTTCAGCTCAATTTGGGGCGCAAAACTGAACTCAGAATGAAGTCACCACATCCGCAACAGTTTCTTTCTCAGCATGCAATGATCATAACAAAAATTTGAAAATGGAATATACCCCTTACCTCAAAACAAAAAAAATCATAGCCCCTTTAAAACATTCAAGTCCTTGCAAGAAGTTCTTACTTTTCCAGAGTATGAAAATAAAGTCAGCTTTGCAAGTAACTTCCAAAAAATGTGGATTATGAAAATGCCATTGGCAGGGTGCCTGAGTGGCTCATTTGGTTAAGTATCTGACTCTTGGTTTCAGCTCAGGTCATGATGTCACCTTTGTGAGATCGAGCCCCTCATTGGGCTCCACGCTGGGCATGGATGGAGCCTGCTTAAGAGTCTCTCTCTCTCCCTCCAGCCCTCCTCCCTTACCCCTCCGCCCCCACTTGCATGCACACTCTCTCTCCAAAAAAAAAAAAAAAAAAAAAAATGGAGTTGGCACACAAAATATATTAATTCTGCTAGTTTTACCCTTGTTTCCACACCCCACCCCAACCATTTCTACTGCCTTGTTAGGTACAGAAAGCATGAAACTAAATCATTAGGCTCTGAGAAAGCACACATCTTCACAAACCCGAGTTTATAGAACAAAAGATGATTTGGCCATTAAGCAAGATTAATTTGATCGACAGATCATGTCAAAACAGATCATTCACAGCCTCAAAGTAAACTAGATATTTCCTAATTTCTCCATTAAGTGTAAACAAAATCATGGTCCACAGTTTGCAAGTGTAAACAAAATAAATATCAATATTCCAACTATCTTGCACAATGAAACCACTTAGAATCACTTTTCCTTTTCTTCATTGTAAATACCCTTTTACATTGTTAAGGACATTTGTTAAGGACACATGATCATGACTTGTATCTTGAAAGTGTGATCACTCTGGAGATTATGAAACTCCCTGTTCTCAATCAGGTACACATTAGAATCACCAGAGGAATTTTTACAAAATACCAATTCCTGGGCCCCAGCTAAGATTTAGAGTGGGCCCTGGTATCGCCATGCTCTAAAAAAAAAAAAAAAAAAAAAAAACCCTCAGGTGAGTCCACTGTGCAGGAAGGTGGGGGACCAATTGCCTCACAAATGTGGATCAGGGACCCAGAAAGGACCAAAGTTGAGAGCACACCAATGGCAGGCAATCTGAGGCGGAACCCAGAGCAAAGATCACAAACCAAATGCCTACGGGAGCCATTTAGGTGAATGAAGCAAGTAACGCATACACACTTCTTTACAACGTGTGACTGCCAGAGGGTGTGACAAACAGGGCGCTCACAGGACAAGGGCTCCCAAGCTCTAGCTGACCTTGCCATCAGGGACATAAGTGGTAACAGGGCTTCCCTCTTAATCAGAGAAGAAAACCACAAATCAAGATTTTTTTATGTAAAATTTCCTAACTTTTAAATGTTGACTCACTTGAAGAAAACACAACCCCACTGTATGAGGCGAGCAAGACGCATAATGAAACACACAACATGGGCTTGGACTTTAGGCTTCAGTTTGTCTATCCCAGTCTGAAGGGGTGTTTCCATTCTACAGTGGCCACAGCATCACTGTTATCAATGACAACAACCAAGAATGCCTCGCATTGAGTATGTCCATGTCAGCCACTATGCTAAGGGTTACTTGGATTCTTTTCAATTAACCTCCATAAACCTTTAAGGCACTATCATTACCCCTCCTTTCTCAATGGCCACTCCCAAGGTCACATACCCAGAAAGTAGCAATGCCAGGACCCAAATGGATACAGTGTAACTCCATAGCCTACATTTCGCTGTATTTCTTAAACATTTTAAACATGCTTTTAAAAACCTCTACCCTTTGCACTTGTATTTCTTCAAAAATAAATGAGTTACACAAAATGATTTCTCAGGTCCCTTTTAATTCTCAAATTCGGTGGCTCTGACTCCATAATACAACTCTTGGTTGTAGAAGTGTTGGAATCTGCATGCATCAGTCTCAAATCCCTGATATGCATTAGCTGATCAAAGGAATGAATGAATGCTTATTAAATAGTCTTTTTGAAAAAGGAGCAAAGACATAAAATTATAATAAAATTCTTTATCTCTACTGCTCTAGAAAGTTGACCTCTCCATTTTACCTTTTGAAAGATGAGTAAAAGTACTCAGAAATTCGTCATATGTTTGTTCATGGCAATTAACAAACTTATCCAAGACTTCTTCAATTAATCGATCTTCCTCCATGATCTCCAATTCTGATATTTGGGCAGGCATTCTTATTTATGAGGCCACTTTATCTATAAGACAAAGAAAGACACAAGCTAGAGAGAGTTGTAGGGCACTCGCCTCTCTTGAAAATGCTGTACAAATGTGCAGAAATGTAAAGTCTTTCAAGGTGAGATGTACTTCAAAGTCACCCATCCAATGACAACAATAATAGCTAATACTCATTAGCTACTTATTTAGTGCTTACTATGTACGGGGTGCAGTGCCAAGCCCTTCAGTATTAACTTCCTAACAATCCTAGCTCAGGTCACAGAGCGAGCAAGTAGAAGGACCAGTTCTGGGAGTGAGATCCTAGAACCCATGGCCTTAAGCACTTCGCTATGTTTCCCTCTATCCCTTACGTGACACCCTTGCCCCCTCCATGTGTTACTGTACTCCTGCCACCAAACAATTGCCTTGTCTGTGTTTTAACACATCCAGGGACTGGGAACTCTGAACATTGCAAAGAAGCCTTTGGACAGAGCGATCAAAGACTCCTTCGTAATCTCTCTGCCTATATAGTTCCCCAACTGGTCCCTGAGCCCCTGGGATCATATTGAATAATTTCAATCATTCTTATACATGACATACTTCCAAATATTTGAACAAGCCTATGCTGTCCTTTCTCAATTTTATCTCACTTACTTAAATTTTTTTCCCAAAACCAAGCTCAGAATTCAGTTTCCCAGGGCACCTGGGTAGCTCAGTCGTTTTGAGTATCCAACTCTTAGTTTCAACTCAGGTCACGATCCCAGGGTCGTGGGATTGAGCCCCATGTCAAGCCCCATGCTGAGCATGGAGCCTGCTTAAGGTTCTCTCTCTCTCTCTCTCTCTCTCTCTCACTCTCTCTCTCTCTCTCTCTCTCTCCTCTCTCCTTCTGTCTCAGGGCACATGAGTGGCTCAGTCAGTTAAGTGTCTGACTCTTGTTTTCAGCTCAGGTCATGATCTCATGGTTAGTGAGTTTGAGCCCCATGTCAGGCTCTATCCTGACAGCTCAGAGCCTGCTTGGGATTCTCTCTCTCCCTCTCTCTCTGGCCCTCCCCTGCTTGCACATGTTCTTTCTCTTTCAAAATAAACACTTAAAATTACAAAAAAGTTTCTCTCCCTCTCCCCTCCTCCATTTTCTATGAAAAAAATTCCATTTCTCTCTGAAGACTTTAGTCTTTCATCTCCCATCACCACAGAAAGCTAATCATAATTTCTCTGTGCTGCCTCATACAGTGTCTACAGTTACACTTAACATACTGTATTGGAAATAGTTGTATACATTTCTGTGTCCTATTAGACATGAAGCCCATGAAAGGCAGGGCCCATGTCTTTTCATCTTTGTAACCCAAGTGTTAAACAGCTCAGGACACGGCATACAGCTGGCACCCATCAATATGAAGCTAACATTACTCATTTGAGCAGGTACGGGAGTCAAATACTGCTAGAAGCTGGCAAAACTTTCAACTAAACTTGCCCAATTATTTCACCTGTGCCTTAACATGACCTAGCTTCGAGTGCTTCCACTCTCCTGCTCAGTCCATCTGAAAGAGATTTCACACTGCCTGCATCCCTTTAAAGTACACCAACCAGAAAGAAAGACAAGACTGCAGATACACTCTGGATCCAGTGAGGTTTGACTAGCTCCCACATTCTAACTACGGCACTCCTACTATACGCTGAAGTGCATTCACACTGCTGGTGGCCTCTTCGCATTGTCAGTTACTTAACATACTGCTAAATACCTGTCAGCTAGGACACGATGCCTCAGTCCTTGCAGTCTAACTGTTTTTACTTGTGGTATTTCACCTTGTTAAATTCCATTCATTCTGTGGGAAATATCAGAGCTTTGAGAAATTTACTATCTACAGAAAGCAGAAGAGATTACTGCCTAAGTGGCACAATTCGTGGGGGATAATAAAAAGGAGGTGGATCTTCGATAATGAATAGGAAGGAGAGAAAGCACCAAGCTTCTTCTATTTTTCAAAAACAAGAGCAAAGTTTTGTTATCTGTTATTAACTTTACTTAATTGGTAGACACAGAAATGTTTTCATAAGATGATGCCCAACCCCATTTGATGGCAAGACCTGATCTGAATTAACATGAAAGTATTTCATTAATTCTACTCAGTGGGACTATTCAGATGTTTCCCCGAAGAAATTCTAAGGGGATTGCTTTTGAGGTGCTTTCCCAGACATCACTGGAGATTTTGTGTAACACACGGTATTACCCCGACTACCTTTCTAAACTCCAAAAACCTCTGAATTCTGAAAAACATCTGATCCTAAGGGCTTTAAATAAGGAATCATGAGGCTACACACACTTCACAGGATTGCTGTGAGAATTAAGTGGGGATATACGACCCCTCAAGCAACGCTAGCCATTATGATCATTATAATGGATCAGCCTTAGTGTTCTGTCCCATGCCTACACAAAGACCTGCTTTGACTGAGTATGACTCCCTCTGACTTTGAAGGTGATGATGCCACCTCAAGAGAAATCAAGATAAGCCCTCATGCTTTACAACCTTAGACAAACTATGGTGTTATAGAAGCCTGCAAACCACAAAGAATAAAATAAAAATAAAAGGAAAATGTTAAATGAAGCTGTATATGAAAGAAACGGTTTCAAACTATTTGTATGTGAAAATTAAATATAGGAAAAAGCATCGGTTAGGGTTTATGCAAATTCACCTGTAACACTGTCAGGTTTCAGCAACTCCAAGTTTCATAAACTATGCTTCCAGGTGCCAGGTAACAAATAATAAATAAATTCAAAAGTGGCTGTTATTTCATTGTCAGTAGGACATGGAGTTAGTTACAAGAATGTTAACGTCCATCCACTTTTCCAGAATGGAACCCCAGCGAAATTCAGCTCTGTCTGACATCAATCTCGTCCTGAACCCATCTCAGGTAATCTACTTCAGGGAGCAAATACCAAACAGAGGCAGCCAGGTTGCGTCTTGCGTTGCTGTAAATGCCTCCTTGTGGATGCTTTAAGAGTGATAACAGGAAATCTTTTAAACTTCCTTTCCACTTCTCAAAGTGGTATATATTTTGAGGTTTTTTAGCCTTAACATATCTCAGTTTTACCAAAGGGAAATAATTAACAGGCTATGCACAGCACACATTCAAACTCCTTCAAGGCCTTTAATTTAATCCACCTGGTTATCCCTATACAGAAGAGGGAATGTTTTTACTGGCTTTATAAAGAGTTTTGGAAAATCCAGTTTGGTACACTGTCATCATTTGAAGAGTTAAACAAATACCCACCTTGAATTTAGAACTTTCCTTATCTCTAAAAATGCAAATAGCCTAATGTTAAAAGTCCCCAGGGACTGACAGAGCAGATAATCATTTACCAGACAGTCAAGTGGTTTATGCAAATCCTAGTGGTTTTCTAGAAGGAAGCAATGCTTTCTCAGTTGCTGTTCACATTTATGTGTGTTTTAATCGTGAAGTATTTTTTCTAAGAAAAAGGGGGGGGGAGAGAAACTTGCCCATAATAGGATTCTTTATCTTGGTATGGTTTTTATATTTTAAGGCTTAGAGCTCCTCATGAAAGACCCACAACATATTGTGACGAGAAGTAAATGTGTAGAAATATTGACTGGAAAATCACACACAACACTTTCACAATCACAGCCTCCAGGGGGAAACACAGGGAGAATGTTTGGCTCTGCTCGGACTACTAAATTTCACAGGAAGACCACAGGCTTGGCTCTCTTCCTAGCCAATCATTGAGAGACGAAGGGAAAAATCACAGAACCTTCCTGGGGTCCTATTTTCTACTACCAAATAATGAAACTAACAACCACCCAAGTCAGTTAGTGCTCTGTCATCTCTGAAAGGCATAATTATAAAACATGGCATATGGAATTATCACCATTGATTTAACACATATTTGATGTTTATCTGCAGATGTCTGCTTAATGCATCCTACCTAAACAAACTGCAACCTTCAGAGGCAAGAAGGGTAAGCCTTCGGAAACAAGTCGCCATGAGCCAGTCTCCTCTCAAAGTGTATAACCTGCTTTTTAACAGCATAGAGAACTGTACGGTGACAAAAATAGGGTTGTCTTTTTTAAACTGTGAGGTTTACTGCTGATATTTTAAAATAATAAATAACACACTTTTAAAAAGTTGTGCAGAGGCTGTCAAAATCCACTTTGTCAAATTTTCATAGTTCTGCTCAACAAGAATCTCCTGCTGTGCTGAATGGTAAGACAGAATATTATCAAAAGAATTCACCTTGCCCACGGAAATGAAACTATCAACCCGGGTAATTCACAGGATGGGTCTCCTTTTATTTTTTGGAAAATGGGCAAATTTCAAAAAGACCAAATTACATTGCAAGTGTATAGATTTATTTAGATGATGGAAGAGACCCGTTAGGAACTGCTTTTTTTCTTCCTTGACTGACCTACAGCTATTTTGCATCCTCTAATATTTTTTTATGTCTTTCAAATCATATTAAAGAGAGAAAGAAATTCAATGATTGAAATTGTCACAGATTCTCAGGGTTGAGAGAAACCTGAAGGTCATCATCGTCCAATGATAGAGAATAAATGAATAAATCTGGCAAAGAAATTTTAAGTAGGGATTTTGTCAAGTAAGGACTATTGATGAGGAAAAGTAGTGTGGTTCCCAAATCAAAAAAAGTAATGACAACATGCTTATGACTATGAATTTCAAGGTATACATGAAGTCAGCAGAAAATTAAGGAAAAGGCAGCAAGCTCATCAGGATGGTCATATCCATGCCCTCGACTACATTCTATACCTTAACAATATACAAAAAACTTGAGGCAAAGGCAAAGCATACGTATATGTGTGTGTACACAGTAACTCCTCTGCTGCGTTTTATCCGAATGAGATAAACACATACAATTCTGGCATCAAAGAATACACTGCACTTCAAGTTATAAGCTTCTTCCATTGAGCCTTTTCTAACACTTAAAGGCGCAGAATTCTTCATTATCACCAACATGTTGATGGCAGAAGCATCTACATGTGTTTATACAGGCTTCCCAAGGCACACTTGTGCA